GATCTTGTCTCTCTAGTGGGCAGGTCCACATCTGGTGGTGTGTTTTGGGGTGTCTGTGGACTTATTATGATTTTAGGCAGCCTCTCTGGTAGTGGGTTGGGTTGTGTTCCTGTTTTGCTAGTTGTTTGGCATAGGTTGTCCAGCAGTGTAGCTTGCTGGTCATTGAGTGAAGCTGGGTGCTGGTGTTTAGATGAAGGTCTCTGGGAGATTTTCGCTGTTTGATATTATGTGGAGCTGGGAGGTCTCTTGTGGACCAGTGTCCTGAAGTTGGCTCTCCCACCTCAGAGGCAGAGTCCTGACTCCTGGCTGGAGCAGCAAGAGCCTTTCATCCACACGGCTTTAAGAAGGCTGGCATCCTTTAAAACTCGAAAGTGCTATTGAGTTCCAAATGGACTATATTCCCAAATAGAGTCGAACAGAGCTGATGGCAGACATGGCGGCTGCAGGAGCAGCGGCAGAAAGAGACACAGCAGGATGCAACAAGCCAGGCTTTGCAATGAGCGTGAGATCTCTCTCTCTCTCTCTCTCTCTCTCTCTTATTCTTCTGAATCACTGTAGCAGCAAAGTGCCTTGCATTGTGTCCCCTTTCAGTCACAAAAGGTCCTCCAAGCCGGGCAGCCAGTAGACACCACTTTCTTCCTGGAAGCGTCTGCCTTTCTTCTCAGAAACTCTTGGACCCCTCTCTGCGGCTCCCTCCACGTTTACCCTTCAGATCAATGATGCTCACCAACCGGCTAGAGCTCAGCTGCCTACACTTACAAACTTTTAAAACAGCTCAAAGATAATGAAATGTTCATACCTTGTAGAATCAGATAACCTGGAAGGGCATGCTCTAGACACATAGTTTTCTCCTGCAGACACCAAATAATCTTTTTGGTCCATTTCACAGTCTTTTACATAACTTAAGAGTTATCATTCTGTATATTATACTTCCATTTTTAAAAAGTTTATTAAAAAATAAAATTAAATAAAGGAAAATAGAGAGTTCTGTAAACCATGCATCAGCTTTCTCAGGTGTTCCCCAAGGCTACTTTAAATTCCTGAGACTTCCGCACTGACCAGCTTTCTTTAAAGCTTCAACCTCTTGCCACATGGCTGGCCTCTGTCTTACTTCCCTCTTCCCAATTCCCTCTCCAGAGACTAACTATCCAGATGTCTACTTGGTGGGGCAGGGGAAATTGACTGTAATGTTGACTGGGAAAGGAGATCTAAAGATTTGCCTCAAAGAGTTTTCTCCTTGCCCTCTATCTTTTTTTTGTTTTAGCCTCCACCTTCAGTCCCACTTCCAGAAGTATCTGGTATTACCACTTCTGTACTTTTTTTTTTTTTTTTTTTTTTTTTTCGCGGGCCTCTCACTGCTGTGGCGTCTCCCGTTGTGGAGCAGAGGCTCCAGACGCGCAGGCTCAGTGGCCATGGCTCACGGGCCCCGCCGCTCCGCGGCATGTGGGATCTTCCCGGA